CCCTGGATGGATTGAATTTGTAATCCTCTGGCCTCAACCTCCTCAGTAGCCGGGATTACTGGTGCATTGCACCACACTCCACTGGTTCATCTTCCTAATCTAGACTCAGTGACTCACACGCTTAAGTTCCAAAGGGGAAAATAACCAACTAAATAAATGCTTTCCAATCACACTGATAAATTCTACCGCAATATAAACACCAAATGTAACGTGCAGAGTGAAGGAAGGTGAGGCATGGGCAGACTTCGGATTTCTAGTTCATCTCTTTTCTCACTTGTCCACTGGGAGGAAGTTAGTAACATACTTTTCAGGGGGAGGGATCAGTGTCCTTCAAACTTTGTCTGAGCACAGGGACACAAATTCTCCTCCAGTTCATAGACACCCTTTAAAGAGGGGGAAATAACATCCCTGACTGGAGGCACGAGGCTGTGCAGATCTCTCACAGCACTCAGTCCTTCCCTGGCCTGAGCCGTAGTGAGGAGTGGGAGCAGAAGTGTATGCAGGACTGGGTCTAGATTGTGATACCTCTGATCCCTGAGGACTCCTGGTGAAAGTCCATTGACTTTACATCTCCTCACCACTTTGGCAATATCTACTTGGATTGCAGATGCATCTTCTTAGAAACTGACCTTGATTCAGATTGGCTATTCTGAATGCTACCCAGGCATGATGTTAAGCAAAAATAACTCGAAGTCACACAAAGCCATGCAGTAAATTCTTTCATGCAGTAAAGCCATGAGTAAATTCTTACTCAGATGTCTTGTCTACGGCTTCAATGGCCGTTCATTCTCAAAGTGCTTGTTTCTATTTCTTTCTTGAAGTAAATACAAAGGTCCCTTTTGGGAATAATTCTGGGCAGTACAGCCGGCAGAAAGGAGAAGGGGTCAAGGTTGGCCCTGCCTCACTTCCTCATTTATCGGGGTTTCTGTGCTTTACCCAAAGAGCACACCACTGTCACTACAATATACCCCACAGATGCAGCCAGTTTCACCCCCAAGCTGGGCGCTGGAGATTGTTAAGAATCATCAGCCCCAGAGCTGGAGCCTGAAAAGTGATCAGGGATGCCACCCACTTTGCTGTGGCTTCCATCATATTAAACTGCATCACATGATGAAGGGCCTTCCCTGGATGCTACTGATACCTTTCCATGGTGTGGAATGGTATCTTCCATGTGGACTTGTCAGAATGCACGCGAGCTTCACCGAGGCTCCAGGAGGGGCCGCTGCACACACGACTGAGTTAGCACAGGCTGGCTGAGGGACTCTGAAAACACAGATACCTGGTGATTCTGGCATTAATTTAAGGAGCCGTTTCACTGAGCTGGGAATCATAATGCTGGGGACCTTGCTAACCTGTGGAGTAAAAGTGGAGGTGAGGAGGAAGACAGGTTTCCAGGCCATGATGGAGCCACCACAGAATTCTGGGAAGCCAGACGCTCTACACCAGGGTTTATTACCATAACCTCCACCCACATAAAAGTAAAGAGGTCCTCCATGCAAATGTACTATGTCTCCTTCCCAAGCAATTTCATTCCCGGGCCTGTGCTGAATCTGGTATCCAGTATCAGTTGTGAGTGGAGTGTTCCTGAGCTGGGCCTCCTGTGAGGCTCCTCAAGGGCCTATAGAGGCCATAGCTGCCGAGCCCACTGAGCCCAGAACAGATAGAAAAATAGCAGTCTGAATTTTCAGCTAAAAGCCCCACAGAGTCTACAACTGTGCCCAGTATTGCTCAGGCCAAGGTGCATTGTGTCTGTGAGCAGATGACCGGGGGTCACAGTCCTGCCTCCACCGGAGCCTTGGTCACTGCCTCCTCCAGACACAATGGCAAAGCAAGGTCATTGCTTGGGAGAACCTGCCACCTTGTCTCAGTCGTTAGTTTTCTATTTTTTTGTTTGTTTGTTTGTTTGTTTGGTTGGTTTCTTTTTGGTTTTTTTTTTTTTTTTTTTTTTTTTTTCCGGTACCGAGAATTGAACTCATGACCTTGCTCTTGCCAGGCAGGCGCTGTGCCACTGAGCTAAATCCCCAGCCCCAAGTTTTCTATTTGGATCCCTCGGTGGGAACAAAACCCACAATTCAGGCTACTTTATAAGGAGATCTCAAGGCTATTCCTGTCTCATGTGAAAATTCATCAGGAAATAAAAGGTACATTGTCTTAAAACATGGTAGCCATGAACCCACATCCCAGGATGCTCCCAAAAACAATTTTTCTTTCGCTACTTGGTTTTTCAGGAGATTGACCCATTTGTGGCATATTGGTGACCATTTGACTTGGATAGATTAGAGCATCATGTGATACACCGTATGTATCTGAAATAGGAAAAGCTAGGGAATAGCAAGAAAATGTATCTGTGGAGTTACAAAAGAAACCGGTGGACCTGGGACTTCTGAAATAAGTGATTGGAGAGATTATGAGCCGAAGAAGGGATGTGATGGTTAACATTGAAGAAAGATATTAAAATTGTTCCTGCTCTTTGTGTGACATTTAATAGTAGTATGAATAGATCAGCAGGAAAAGGGTTGAATAGAGAGAGATACCCAAGTAGTGAGAAGGGAAGTCATGTATCAAGGGAGGAAAAGCCAACAGGGAGACTGGGAAAGCATATACAGGGGTCAGATGAAGATGAGGTTTGTTGTATGTTTGGGAGCATTTTGTTTGTGATTTGCAAAAAAATTGGAGCCTCTCCCAACTTTCAGCTGTCATGTGGACTTTTTACTTTTATTTTGTTGTTGTGGTTGTTGTATTGGGATTGGACCGATGGCCTTTGCAATGAGCCACATCCCCAGATCTTTTCATTTCTAAGAGTCTAGCTAAGTGCCTGAGATACCAGAGCTAGGCTCTGATCCTTCTCCCTCAGCCCCTGAACTCTGGGATCACGGGCCTACAGCAACATTCCAAGACGTGGTTTTTGTTTCTTTTTTTTGTTTTAAAATCCAAAAGCTTTGAATCTCTCTTTCAGAGGTGTCTCTTTGGTTTTTCTCTGCCAATGTTACAATTTTATTATAAACCATTACCTGGAATTTAGTGTTTATAAGATGTGAGTGTGATTACTTTATGGAAGGGATATTTTAGAAATACAGAATCTCAGGTTTCATCCAGGAACCACTGATCAGGATCTACATTTAACAAGATAACCAGAAGTTGTACACCTTAGAGTCTGGGAAGCTCATGTACACAGAGATAGACACAGATGTATTGTTTTGGATTTGGTTGTTTTCATGTATTCCGTGTCCTACCAACATGTGCATCCTGATTCTTGCCCTGTGCCAGGCCTAATGTTCACAGGGACCCTACTGAAATGGCAAGCACACCTCAGCTGACAAAATTTGAAAAATGTCTAGAAGTGCTTCATCTGTAGAAAAATTATCTTCACATGTTCACACATTCACATCTATAGGCCAGAAGAAATTGAAATAAAGTAAAAGTTATAATTTTTACAATATAAATAATCACAGTAATATTAAAAAGCAATTACATACTTATGTAATTGAAGTCAGAGAAATTACTCATTATTTTGTTTATTTTTTTGAGATAGGTCTCCCTATGTAGTTCAGCCTGGCTTTGAGTTCACTAGGTAGCCCAGGCTGGCCTTGAACTCGTAGCGATCCTCCTGCCGCAGCCTCCTGAGTGCTGGGATTATAGGCGTGCACCACCACGCCCAGCAAGCTTGGAAATTTTAAACTTAGCTTTCACCACATTCACAAAGATTAGAAATCTAAACACAAATATGATCATAGTTTCAGGTCAAGATAAAATAAATGCCTCCACATTTAGATATAGTGTTACAGTGAGTGTTTGGTGTATTAGTTTCCTGCAGTTTCATAACTTCAATATTCTTTCTGTGCCCTTTTGTCTCCTTTTAGATGGTGCCTTACACAAGCACAAAGGATACAGAAGCCATTTGACTCTGGTATGCCTTACCTTAACTAATGACAGTTGCAGTGAGACTATGTTTTAAATGAGATCATTTTATCTTGCATACTGGGGAGTCAACAAGGTAACAAATCTTCTTAGGTGAAATGCTCTTATGTAAAACTTTAGAGAAGAAAATTTTTAATTGAAAATAGCATTGTAGTAAATTACACTAAATGAAATAAACTTTAGTAAAAGTGGAAGATTACTTTGCCCCTAGATGACCAAAAATACATCACTGTAGATTCTTCTCTCTAGAGGGAATAAAAACCTCTGTCCTGAGTTCTTTCTTTTTTTTTTTTTTTCCATCTTTCATGAGACAGGCTCTTGCTATGCAGTTCAGGTTGAACTTGAGCTCACTTTGTAGCCCAGGCTGGTCTCAAACTCTCAATGATCCTCCCACCTCAGCCTCCTGAGTGCTGGGATTATAGGTGTGCACCACCACGCCCCACTTGTTCTGAGTTGTGATCAAGTGGTTAGTATTCCTTTGGGGAAATGCCGGAAATTAATTCCGCTTTTTGTAGAATACGTCCATTCAAGAAATTCACCAATATGCTCAACTTTAGGACTCAAACTGAAATAGGAATCTGTTCCAAGCCCACCATTCACCTCGCTCTCTGCAGATAGCTATCATTAGGCTGTCTGTGTGCTCAGTGTGTACTCCATATATTTCCAATACCATACGATCCTATTTGCACCGACCAAGTCAAAGCCATGTTTATGTCACAGTTTGCCATCTGAGCTAAACATCACTGAACTCAGCCTTGTGCTCCAGTTGGTCTCCTGACATGGACTGGCCAACTTGGTCTCTTAGGCTGTAGCCTGAGAATGAACAGGTGACCAGAAGTACTTTCTGATGCTTGTGTCATAAATCAGTGCCCTGAAGGCTTGACAGGCTTCTACTGGGACTAGAGTGGAGAGCTCCCATCAGTGAGGGCCAGGAAGTAGCAGACTCAGGTAAGGGTGACTGTCCTTACTGAGGACAGGATCACCATGGGCTCCAGGGTCACTATAGCCTGTGAACTGAATCCTAAAATGAAAATAAGCATATGTCATCCATGAGGAAGGAGGACAGAAGCGCCACTGCAAAGTCAAGTCTCTGAAATCTCCATGAACCTGTAGAAGGTGAGGAGGTGTCCAGGATATGGTGTGGACTTTCCAAAGGTTCCCCAGGACCCAGAGCTGCTGTTGGACTGTCCACTGTCTTTTCCCTCCTCAATCACCTGGATCTGTGGGTGAGTGCTCTTGTATGCAAATATGAACATTGCCACAGCATCTTTGTCTGTGGTCTCAGACCAATGAGCAGCTCCAGCATCAGTGAGACTGGGACGCTCACAGGGGCACATCTGCTGTAATCTTGATCTTGGGCCAGAAAGCATCAGCCAGGCCATTAGCTTAGAGCCCCTTGAGGCTTTCAGTCCTTGGTAACCTCTGAGAAGACCCACAGTGGCCCTGCTTGCCTTGGGAAACTATCTGTAAATTTCCTTTTTTTTTTTTTGTTACCAGGAATCGAACTCATGACCTCACACTTGCCAGGCAGACACTTATGCCACTGAGCTATATTCCCGGCCCTGTAAATTTCTTTACTAGGCAAAAATCTTCCCTCAGGCATGAATTTCAACTTTAGTGCTTTCCAGTATTAGGGGCTCACAGAGTACCATAATTTTATTAACTGTGAGTTCTATGATTTATATTTGATTTGTTTTTATGACTTCTATTTTTTTCTCAGATTTACTTCTATTACATTTGTTAGAAAAACGATTTTGCTCATTCATGGAACTCCATGATTGCTTTTTTGAAAATTTCTAGCACATCATTTCAGCAAACATGTCACCTTAATGATGATGTGTACAGTCACTACTTTCTGATTATCCTTGTACTTAAAAGTGATTTGTAAGCTGGGAACTATCTGATCTTGGACTTCCCAGCCTGCATAACTGTAAGACACAGTTATTTGTTTTTTATAACTAAATCAGTCCAGGCTATTCTCTTGCGGCAGCTTGAAAGTAATTGAGCACATGGGGAGGAGCAGATAGAAATGCAGACTAGCTAACGCCGGGCAAACCTGAGAGCAACTGTGGAGTCTCCAAAAAATATTCTTGTTTAACTCATTAATATTTTTACTCAATACAGAGGCCCATACGGTACTAGGGGATGGACAGAGGAACAATGAAGTTGCTTCAGCCACTGCTACAGAGAGGAGACTGAGAAGGGGAGGTCAGACTGGGCGGGGTGGCACTGGAGTCATTTCCTGAAACCCCAGGAACAGGGACATTGCTTCCCATCACCTCTCAAATCCTCCCTCAGTTTTCCTTCTAAATGGTCTTCCTTTGAGTAAGAATCTGATCTCTGAGGGTCCTAAGACTCCTTTCTGGACATCCCCTTGGAGGGCAGAAGAGAGGGGACTTCTGCAATCCCTGCCTCAGTGGTGGAGAGAACCTGAAGGCAGAGGTCTCTGCACTCACTGCGTGATCAAAGTCACAGTCACATCTCACTGTGCAGCAGGTTCTGTGCAGCCACCATTCCCACAGCCACAGAGGCCTGATTCCTCTAAGCCTGAGGAGGAAACGATGGTTCTTAGACACACTGTAAAAGTAACAGGAGCAAGGGAAGGTGACTTGCACTTCATGCATGTCAGGGATGCTGGGCTTGGGACACACTGAACAGTGACTGACCAGAGGCTTTCAGACTCACAGGTCTCTGACGCAGCCCTATGGACCCAAGTGTGGTTTCACTGTTACAGGAAATATTTATCCTGAGATTGTAACAATTCAGAAGGACGAATCAGTACAGCCTGAGCATAAGACCCTGTGAAATAACTATAGTATCTATTGTCCAGCACTCCAGGCAATATATTGTCCCATTACAAAAACATATATGAAAAGCGTAGTCCAAACTAACAGTGAACCAGACATTGAGAGGTTCCAGGTAAGCATGGAAAGCCACCATGCATGAGGCAGAACAAATAAAATGAGGTAAATGGAAAGGAGAAAAGATGAGATGTCACAACAAGATGAACTGCTGACGATGTGAAACTAACATCACTGGCCATGGGATTCTCCTGGACACCCATGTGTGTGCACACTGATTTTATTTAGGTTGGAACTCCCAACAGTCAGGGATCCTACTTTATTCCTCTTTCCTTTTTGTCCAAGTTTCAAGAGTATTTTCAATGTGACACTCACAGTCAATCTCCCAAGTGCAATATGTTCCTCCCTCTGTGGACATTTTCCTTAAAAGGCTAAAGTATCCTTTCTTCTCTGTGAGGTGCAAAACACTGAGCTTCTTATGCAAAATGAATTTAGAAAATTCACTTTAGTCTTTGCTACAGATTTAGTGCACGATATTTTCTAATTTTTTCTGATTTCTTATACACAACCATCTTGTTAAATTAACATGTCTGTATCAAAAGTACTCATTGTCTGTTATTGTTGGAGGAAAAGATTGAGGTCCCTGGGAATTGAACAAAAAAGGGAATAAGGAATGTTAGTCCATTGATAGGAGGAACTCAGTTTTGAGAAAATCAAGATTTGTGTGTTGTTTTGTACCTTGCTACATTGCTGATATTGGTTATTAACTCTGAGAGTTCTTTGGTAAATTTTTTTCAGTCTTTCATGTAGAGCATGTTGTTGTCTGCAAATACCAGTAATGAACTCAGTGAGAAAGGAATTAAGAAAACACTAGTATTCACAATAGCATCTAGAAAAATTAAATACCAAGGAATCAACCTAACCAAGAAAGTGAAAAACGTTTATGATGAAAACTGCAACACTCTGAAAAGGAGATTGAAGGAGACATCAGAATTTGGAAAGATGCCCTCTGCTCCTAGCTAGGTAGGACCAATATTGTCAAAAAGACCGTACTCCCAACATTGATCGATAGATTCAATGCCATCCTAATGAAATGCTAACTTGATTCAGTTGGAGACAACCTGTCATCAGGGCCTGCATAATCCGAAGGCCTGGCTGGAGTGGGAGGATTCACTTCTGATCTCAGTCACATTGGTATTTGGCAGCTTGAGCTTGCTGCCACACTGTGTGTCATTTTGCAGGGCAGGCAATCCAATAGAAAGCAATCAAATCAAGCTGTAATCTTTATATGCAGATCTCAGCAGTCGTTTCCAATCAGTTAACTATTCTATTGTTAGAAATCAGTTACATAAAAGGGTTAACTATTACTTCTGTGTATTTGCCCCATTGGTTTCCTGCCTCACATTAGATTGGAACGGTGAAGTCAAAACTGTTAGAGCCCAAATCAAACTTTTATGCACCCAATTGCTTTAAATTAGACTAAAAGCATAGTTTTAGGTATTTAGAGCCTTCCTGCTTGGTGTGTCATAAAGGGGCACTTAATATTTTTAGTCATACATAAAAATATCTTGGGACTATGAAACTCCGAATGCCAACCGCCATTCCTAACTCTCTGACACGCAGATTTCTGGCTGCATTGCTGAGTGACATGTCTTAGACACACCAATGCTTCTCCAGTTCTCCCCTGGGACTTCTCTCCTCCCCTACTGGGTGTTGCCCTGTGCTCCTGACTCTGAACAGCCTCTGGCTTGAATAAACTTTACTCCTCAACTTGTCAAGGCTCAGACCAAATGGAGCTACTGACATCTCTCCTAAGTCAGGGGTTTTCCTTTCCTAACTCCTCTTTCTTCAAATGTGCTGTACCAATGTCTCAGTTACTTTTCTCGTGTTACTGAGACAAAATACTCGACACTCAGAATTAAGGAGGGAAAGGTTTATTCAGCTTTGTGGAGGTTTGTGGAGGTTTCAGTCCACACTCAGCTGGCTCCAAGGCAGAGTGGCACACGGAAGAGGGCAACAGTTCGTGAAAGGTGAAGATAGAAAAAGCAACAGCAGCAAAAGGGAGACACAGTGGTAAGCAATCTCTTTCCCTCCCTTACACTATATGCAAACCATCCACCCCAGGGCGGGGGTAGCACTCACATTCATAATTCCAACATTGGACCATGAATCAGTCATAAACCCTGGAAGCCTGCTCCATAACTGCATAAGGCTTTGGGGGGACATTCAGACACAAACCATAACAACCAGTCACTCAGTGCAGCCTACACTCAAGAGAGGGTTACGGAAAGGCACACATTGGTGAGGGTGGAGTTCACTGGGACTCTTGCAGTGGTTGCCTCATATGGTCCCCTTCTAAGTCTCCAAAGATTCCCATCTCTCTCAGACACCACACATGACTCTGAGTCTTGTGTTTGTCTGCAAGGAGGTGCTGAGGAGCACAGGGTGATGTGCACAAGGGAGTTTTTGTCTCAGTTCCCCATCTGCATGTGTCACTGTGGAAATGGTTGCTGTACCACAGGGCACAGTAATAGGTGGCCTCGTCTTCAGGTTGGGCCCCTGTGATGGTGAGGGCAGCCTTGTCTCCAAGCAAGGAGCCTGAGAAGCGGGCAGGGACACCAGAATGCCGGTTGCTGGTGTGATATATTAACCCCCAGGGTGTTTGGTAGGGTTTCTGTTGGACCCAGCTAGCGTAGTTACTGGTCGTGACGGCTCCAGTACTGGAGCCACAGGTGAGCGTGACCGTCCCTCCAGGAGATGTGGACAGTGGAGATTCCTGAGTCACCACAGCCTGTGATTCAGCCCCTGAAAAGAAGAGAGGAAAGTGATGGTCAGAGGAGGAGACAGAGGCAACACCGCTGCCTTGCACAGCCCCAGTCAGAAAATCCCTGCCGACCTGTGATGTGAGCCAGAAGTGTGAGCAGGAGAGGAGCCCAGGCCATGGTGCGGACAGCCCAGGACTGCGCTCTTCAAGGCTGCTTCCCTCCCTTCAACCCTTCTTCTCCTCCCGTTTACAAAACTTTGTTTCTATTTTATCCTTCTTTTCTCATTTTTTCTTTTCCTTTCCTGTCCATCTGGTGTGAGAAATGAAAGTGTAAATAAGATCCTCAAGTGTATAGTAGATATTGAAAATAGGAAGATATTGTTCAAGAGGAAAGGGTAACTAGGGAGAGGGAAGTGGGACCGGAAGATCCAATCGTGTTGTAACAATCTAGCAATTTTATGCCCTCTATCGCTGTTAACAATGAGCTAAAATACATGCACTTTGGTGAATGCCTTTTTGGTTTATTGGGGCATATTATATGCTTAGATATTTTTTAAAAGTTTGAGAAGTTTTTGTCAGTAATTCTCATACACATTTTCCCATCCTTTTCTCCTTATTATTATCTCTCTGACATGTATATGTACTTAGATATGATGATGTCGCATGAGGTTCTACAGATTTGTGCATTTATTTGCACTATTGTTCCTTCTTGTTCATTAAAAATGATAATATCTGTTCTATTTTATTAGGTTCATTGATTTTTTTATTCTTTATTGCTTTGGTAACTTTTTGGGTTTCATGAGACATTTCCCTTACTTTACTTTAAAATGATTGCCACAGTTTTCTTTATTTCTTTGAACATATTCATAATAATTGAGTTAAAGTCTTTACTTAGTAATGACAATATCTGTGTTTCTTTGGATAGAGTTTGAATAAATTTTTGTGCTGTTTTACTTGCTTTGTTATGATTTTAATTTCTTCCACTCATGAGCAACACTTTCCTGTTTTTAAAAAATCTTTCTTACAATTTCACTTTGACAGGGTACAAAATCAGCATTAAAAAGCACCTGTATAAATTTGCTTTTGGAGGACTGAGTCTTTCTACTACCACTCAGTAATACGGATGGTGTATTCATGACAGCTCAGTACCCACCCTTGACTCTGGAGAGAGAATTAGAAAAAAAATCCAGCCTCTTTTCCATGTGTATTTATTTCTACAGTGGAAATACCTTCCCCATGACTATCAACTGATGCTGAGTATTTCCTAGGGGACCTCTGACTGCTTCATCCATGGGAAGAGAAGAGGTTCACCACAGTTGTGTTTTAGTTTACAAATATAGTGGTAAAAATTGAATATGAGAAGCAACTATGTGAAAATAAAAACATATAAGAAGTAGCTTACTTCCTCTTTTTAGCTGTCTGATTCAGTTTTCCTTCATGAGGTCCTTTTATTAAAAAAAAGTCACTGTGATGAACCTACTTGTGCTACACAGAAAATAAACACTGAATGAATCTTACAGTTGCCATCATTTTATTTTATTTTGATCCCGATACTGGATTTTTCTTTAGATTTCTACAGTATAGTACTATTATATTTACACAGAATATTTATGAGTAACATAACCCAGGAAAGAACTACACATTCTGCCTACCACTATGTCTTCAAGGTTTTTACCTAGTTTCTCTTCCAATAGATTTAGTGTTTCTGTTTTAATATTGAGGTCTGTTATCCATTTTGACTTGAGTTTGGTGCATGGTGGTAGACTTGGGTCTATTTTCAGTCTTTGGCAAGTGGCAAGCCAATTTTTCCAGCACCATTTATTAAAGAGTCTATCTTTCTTCCAGTGAGTTTGTTTGGCCCCTTTATCAAAGATTAGGTGGCTGAGTGTGGTTTTGGTTGTAGCTGTTTCTTCCAGTCTGTTCCATTGATCCTTAGGTCTGTTTTTTAGCCAGTATCAGGTTGATTATATTACAGTATCTTTGTAGTGTAATTTCAGGTCAGGGATTGTGATTCCACCTGACTTGTCCTTGTTGCCCAGGATTGCTTTTGCTATTCTGGCTCTATTCTGGTTCCAGATGAATTTAGGGCATGTTTTCTCGAGATCTGTGAGGTATACTAATGGTAGTTTAATGAGAATTGCATTGAATCTCTACAACAATTTTAGGAGTATGGCCATTTTCACAATGTTGGTTCTTCCTATCCATGAGCAAGGGATATTTTTCCATTTACTGAAATCTTCTTCTATCTCTTTTTTCAGAGTACTGTACTTTTCATTGAATAGATCTTTTGCTTCTTTTGTTAGATTAATTCCTAAGTATTTCAATTTCTTGGATGTTATTGTGAAAGGTATGGTTTCCTTAATTTCTCTCTCAGTCTGTTAGTTGTTTGTGTATAAGAATGCTATCGCTTTTTGGGTGTTGACTTTGTATCCAGCTACACTGCTGAATTTGCTGATTAGTTCAAGGAGTCTTCTTGTGGAGTTTTTGGGGTCTTCCATGTAAAGTATCATGTCATCTGCAAATAGTGATAGTTTTACTTCTTTCTTTCCTATCCTTATTCCTTTTATTTCTCTCTCTTGTCTAATTGCTCTGCCTAATGGTTCCAGAACTATACTTAACAGGAGTGGTGACAGTGGACATCCTTGTCTTGTTCCTGAGGCGATATGTTCAAGAGTGTAGTTCAGCTCTGAAATTTCTTTATTTTTTTTTATTAATTGATCTGTCTCTTTACAAAAGTTGGGTGTTAAAATCCCCTACCATGACTGTGTTAGTTTTTACTGGATCTTTTAATTTCAACAATTTTTTATTTATGAAGCTAGGTGCTACAGTATTTGATGCCTATATATTCACCAATGTTATTTCTTCTTGTTGGAGTATTTCTTTAACTAGTATATAATGACTTTCTTTATCCTAATGTGTTTCAACTTGAAGTCTACCATCACTGATGCGAGATTTGCTACCCTTGCTTGTTTTCAGGGTCCTGGTGCATGAAATATTGTTTTACATCCTTTAATTTTTAGTTTATGAGTATCTTTTTGGATTAGATGTGATTTGTGAATGTAACAGATTGCTAGATTCTGTTTTTCTATACAGTCTGCCAATCTGTGTCTTTTGATTGGATGGACAGTGCACAAAAAGGCAAACTCCAAGACCATCCAGAGAACAGTGAGAAAAGTATAGCTTATGTAGCCACAGCAGGTCTTTAATTGGTCTAAATTCAAACCTGTTGATTAATTGAAATGACACTGAACTCAAATCTTTCAACCCAAACCCACTGACTGTTACAAATTCAATTTCATGCTTATTTAAAATTGAAGCCAGATATGCTTATAGCATACACCTGCAGAGAGAGGAAGTGGGACTTCCAGGTCAGCTATCATGGCCATGGTTCCATAGAAGGTGGAGAGATGAGACTGTTTGATTAGCAATTGTCTTTTCTCTACGAAAACAGAGGTTATAAAATCAGAAAATCTTCAGGAAGTCCAACTGTCTTAATCACAGCTTACAAAGGTTTGGGAGTTTGGGGATATTAATAATGGTCCAAGATCACTCCCTGGCCTTTGCCACATTAGAAATGGCTTCCATGATGCTTCTTCTTCAAAGAGATGCAACCCAAGGCTAAAGCATTATGAGAGGAGGAGGGACACCTTGGGCAACAGCCAAGCTACACCATTTGCAATCTGAAATTACTATTTTTTACATTTATGAAGGTGAATTAAACCATGATATATAAAATGATATTTTATATATCTTTTCATATAGCTTTCAACTTTATTAACAATTGTCTTATTGTAAAATAGACATAACTAAAATTTGGAAATGTGGATGTGACACAGAGCTGTTTTTTTACACAGTTTTATTTTACTCAAAATATTTCGCATCCATTTCCTTACAAATGTCTCAAATTTGTCCTTCTTTATAGCTGAGTAGATGGTTATTAATTCTAAGAGTTGTTTGGAGGAATATTTGGCTCTTCTATGTAGCGTTTATGTCATATGAAAATAATGATAACTTGAGCTCTTCTTTTCCTATACATATCCCTTTTATTTCCTTCTCTTGCCTGGTTGCTCTGGTTAATGTTCCAAGTACTTTGTTGAATAGAAGTGGTGGTAGTAGGCATCCTAGCCTTGTTAGTGATTTAATGGGGAGGGTAAATATCATGCACATCTTTCTGTCTTCCCTCCACAGGCTTTCCTTGCCCAATATGGTCCAAAAGCCAGTGAGCCAGGCATGTTTACTATCTCTCTGCCTGCAGATTTCTGTTTGAGCCCCACTCACAGAACCTGATGTTACTCCTAGGCTGGGTTGATTGTCCCTCTTTCCTGGTGTAGGGTAAGGATCTGGACCTCACGTTGTCTCAGGTCTGTCAAATTTTTAGAGAAACAATAGGAGAGTACTCACTCTGTTTTTGCTCGCTGAATTTTAGTTCAAGTTGCTCTCTCACTCTGCTCTGTGTACTTGTTAAGGAACCAGTTTTCTTCTCCTGCAAAAGTACCATCACCTGCTGACACTGGTGCTTAAAAAAAAAAACTATGTGGCTCATTCCACTTGTTGGCAGTTTTGGAGCACTGTGTTTTTACAGGAGAGGCCATGTGGGTGGATGGTGATTTGTTTTTCCCCTTGGGGGACCCTTGGGAGGAAATACCTGCTAAGTCAAGACAAAAGGCAGGCCGGAGAAGACACAGTTGCTGATTGCCCATCATTGAGCACAGGGCCGTGCTTTCAGTGAATATTTCTTACTGAGCACTGTGCTCAGTAAGGGACCATAGGGCAATTGCAGCGTTCTCTCTAACATGGATAGAGGATACAACTCATATCACAGAGACCTGAGGTCACTGCTGATTTCTTTCACTCACCTGGTCACAGTTTCTATTCACCGTTTGAATAACTGGTTTTTTGTTTTGTTCTTTGCATTGTCAGGGACCAACACAAGCCCTCAGTATAGTCAGTAAATGCTCTACAACTGAGCTACATTCCCTGCACTGAAAAACTATCTGCAAATGACACTGTACAGTTTTCTAGTTGATAATACTGAACAGATAAAATTATTCCATGTTGCTCCACCAGGAATGGAATTGTTCTAATTTTCTATTTTACTTACACTTATTTATGACATCTGCAATGCTGAGGATCAATGTCAGGGCCTTACACATGATGGGTAGGTGTTCTAACACTGAACTGTATAACCATTCTCTGCTCATATTTTTAA